CCTCCAGGATCTTGTCTCAGTGTACATTCTGACTGGACCTACGTTCTCTTGGTCAATATCTGCACAGTACCAGTAAATGTCTTGAATACCATCGATGGGCACAGGGTAGCGTAAGAGTATATAGTGATGGTCTTTGTCTTATTCAGAGAGGCCAAGGAAGAATTCCCTGAGAAAGTGACACTTGAGCTGAGATCTGAAGTACTTGAAAGTGTTAATTTGGTGATGAGAGAACAGACAAGCAATATAAGATACTCTGTGGTGGGAAAGAAGATGGCAGAAAGAGGGACTGAAAGAAGGCCAGTATGACTTGCGTTCAGAGAACTGGAGCGAGAGAGAGGTGAGGTGTCTGGACTTTGTAATGCTCCTCCCAGAGTACAGCTGATTGGACTAGAGAGGATACTTCTCTAAGTTGGCCAATGACCAAGAAGAGTGCTTGTACCTATATGCTACAAGGTAATTGTCCAACCCAATCAGATCCTCTCTTTCATAGAATTCAGATCAAGATGTACCAAGAGAGTCCATTGGTCGAGAGCAGAATTGCAGCTAAGCCACTGTAATGGCAGATCACAGTTGGGGCAAAGGATACCTCTTCCCATTTGAAGACTGACCTCCAGAGGTCCTATAGAGCCGAGGCAACAGATGGTAGCCTGCAGGTCAGTTAGTGTGGTCAGCACACTTTTTTTTCTGTCTGTCCACACAGGGTTGCCAGAACATTGTTTTGTTATTAAATTAGTTGTGAATATTAAAACATCAAAAGTTTTCAGATAGAGAGCTCTCAAACATTGAGGAATTTTTTGAATATTTCTGCCACATCCCTGATGGTAACAATGGCTGGGGATGAGTAGCATTTACTTGCTTTAGATAGAGTATGAGTAGTGCACACCAGTTTATAAGTTTCCACTGCTTCTTGGGGTGTTCCTCCAACACTTGAGACCAGTGTCACTTGCCATATATCATCTTGCACAAGCCCTGCTGCATTCACATTACTCTCCTTGCCCCTAGCGGATTTGGACCCTGAGACTTCTTTCGTTGGGACACTGCAGCTGCCATTGTAAACTAAAGTCCCCGATTTCCTCCTGGTTGTATGTGAGATAAGGTTGCCAGCTTCAGTAAACACACACAAAAAAACAAAACAATAACAACAACACAACACAAAATAAAACAGGATACCTGGTTAAATTTGAGTTTCAGATAAGCAACAAATGATTTTTAGAATAAGTATGTCACCAGTGTTGTATTTTTTCTGGCAACCCAATGTTTGAAACAAAGCGCATGACTGCTGAGACAAGTCCTGGCCTCTGTATTCCCCATATACGTTTCCCCATCAACTGAAGGTGACAGTGGGTGAGGCTCTGCTTCTTGCTACTGAAGCGCCGTACAACGTAGGTGTCAACGAGCAGCCCATTCAGAGCAAATCGACTCTGAATAGTGACAGCCCAGGTCGGAAGGTAGTTTGGAGACAGAGTGTTGAGGGTCCTGAGTGCCAGGCAAAGAGCTCGAGATGGAAGGTGACACAATGGCAGCAGCACTTTAAGAAGATACAGCCGACAGTGTCTTTTTTGACAAACTGGAAGGCAGCATTCCTGAGCAAGGGGTGCTAACCAGAAGAGACTGAGCTTTGAAGTAACGAGTCTCCATTGGCATGTGGAGCCTGTGAAGGAAAACGGTTTCTCTGCTCAAAACACTTTGACACCAAATGCATGGCTTTTCCACATGGAGCACTTCTCCAGTTCTCTGTGGATACCAACTGGGTGTCCTACAAGTTAATTTGGTTCTGATACTAAGTACCCAGAGTTAGTGCAGACCTTACAGGTTAAGGGCTCAGTCCCACAAAACTGTTCCTACTTCAGATGCCAATCACACATGGTGGGTCCCCAGGTTGCCCACACTAATCTCTGACTTGCTACAAGCAGAGGTTCCTATGACTCTCTCCTTATGTTTGATACTTTGCATAACAGCTCACAGAACTGAGGGAAACACTTTACTTAGTATTACCTGTTCATTATAAAGGATGTTACAAGGATACAAAGGAACAGCCAGATGAAGAGGTATGTAGGGGAAAGTCTGGAAGCACTGTGAGCACAGGAACTTCTGTCCCCAGGATGCGCTACCTTCCCAGCGTGTGGATATGTTTGCCAACCTGGAAGCTCTCCAAATCCTTTTGTTTAGGATCTTTATGGAAGTCCCATTACTTAGGCATGACTGATTAAATCATTGGCTATAGGTGATTAACTCAATCCCCAGCCCTTTTTCCCTCCCCAGAGGTTGGGGGTTGGTGGGGCTAAAGTTCCAAACCTCTAATCATTTAGTTGGTTGCTCTGGCAACCAGTCCCCATTTTCTGAGAGTAAAGTCATTAGCATAAACTCAGGTATATGAAAGGACTAATTATGAATAACAAAAGACACTCCTATCATCCTATCACTTAGAGGATTCCAAGGGTTTTAAGAGCAGCAGTATTTATTATTTAGTAAGGCCATAGGTGGAGACCAGCAGTGAGATAAATCATGAATAATAATACCTAATAATGCCATGCTTTTGAAGAGTCTCTTCAAAGTGCCAGGAACCAGGGACAAAGACCAAATATATATTTCTTATTATAACACAATATAGTAGCTGGAATGGAGAGGAGGTGACAAGGTGACTGGTTTTGAGGGAAGAATCAAGAGGCTTTGGTGACAATTTGGATAGCAGGGCAGGGTCGGTTGCAGGAGGAATCAACTATGTTGGTGGCACTTTTGTGGCTATCAGATAGTGGCACCGCTGCCCTGGAGTTTTATTACTAAGGAGGGTGGAAGGGGGAGCTGCTCTGAAGAGAAGAATGGTGACACCTTTTTAGCTGTGTTGATTTTGAGGTGCCATCAAATCCAAAAGTCAAGTAAGTGGTTGAAAATGCCGTTAAATTACAAAAGCAATTAATATTTACTCTGATCTTACTATGTGCTTCCTGTTCTAAGATCTTTACATGGATTAATTTGTTAAATCCTCACAAAAATTCTGTGAGATAGACACTGTTATTACTCCCACTTTGTAGATTAGGAAGCTGAGTAACAGAGAAGTTTGGTGACTGGTCTAACATCACAGAGCCATTGACGTTCCATCCCAGCTGTCCCTCACTGCCTTTGCCACACGTCCTTCCAACTTAAATGCAGGGTTTTGCTTCCCTCTTAGCTTATTAAATCAATCTAGAGCTGAGAAGAAAAAGGTTTATTCATCAGTATCATATTAATTAAACTTTTGTAAGAGGAAATGCACAATTAAAACCAGACACCCAACTTCAATTATATTTACATATAAAATGAATCAAAATAGATACATGGCCACATAGCATATTTATTTTGTGGCTTCTAATTAAGGTGCTTTAATTTTACCATTGCCATCTCAGTATTTAGTATTTAGAAAGGCCATAGGTGGAAACCACTAGTGAGATGAATCATGAATAATTATATTGTGCCTTTGAAGAGTCTCTTAAACATGATTAAAATTATTAGCAATTATATATTAATTAGCTAATTAATACTAGTTTTATTATGTGAATCCGTAGTAATCTTTTTATATGGGTGGCTGAAACTAAGCTGCTAGCAGGTAGCTCAGTTTACTTCTTCAAAAATATTTCTTTTATTCTGTGTATAATGGTAATACATTTTCATTAGTTACTTTCACTTAAATTGTACATTCTTGCTGTACTGGAAATTGTTATTTTGTCTTTTTGAAAAGAATTGTTGGATCCATGTCCTAAGATTCATAGCTGGCATTGCTCCCTTGTTGTGGAAACAGTTTGTAGGAGAATATTGCATTCCTGAAGTCAGAGGCTAGTTCATCTTCACAAGATCTACTGATAGAGAGAAATTTGAGGGATGAGAATTGAGCCCATGGAGATGTAAGGGGGTCATCAGCAGGGCAGCAGATTTAGGACACATGTGGATAGGACAACTACTGCCTTTTCCCACTTCGCCAGCAACTGTATCTCCAACTCCACGAACAGAAGGTGAGAATGAGAAGAAAAACATCTGTATCCTTGCGCATGTTTTGGCCTGTTGCTGATTCAGCCACAGGCGGTTTGGGATGTGTGAGTGACCTCAGTGTGTGTGCACCCTGGTTCCTCTCAACACTGTGTACTTCCCTGGTCATAGAGCCATAAGTAAAGTTGGAAAAAGTGACAGCCTGGAGAAATAAATTTAGAACCACTATATAGTGACACTGAGCAGTGGGGTGTCCCCAGCTCTCCCCAGTAATTCACTGCTGACACAGAGGGAATACATATTTACTGATGTCAGGACTGGGGTGTTTTGGGGTGGACTGAAAGCAGAGACTCTCAGTGCCCTCCAAGGTGTCAGTGGGCCCGAGGCATTGGGCCATCGAGCCATTATAGAGTAACTGACTTATGAATTTCATGGGAAAATAGACAAAATCTTTGTGAACTTGTGCAAATCAGATGCATAGGCTTGTAATAGATGAAATCAAGCAATTCATATAATTTGGCTCAACCTGAGAGCTATGGGAATGAGAATGCCAGGGAGAAATCCTGTGGCAGTTTTGCTGAAGCAAGGGTATGTGTATATGTGTTTATGAACCCTTATTCCTACCTTCCATCCCAATTTCCTCTTATTCCTGAATGTCAATAGTGATTCAGCTTCCGGTTCAAGCTGGTATGGCAAGAGGCTCCTGAACTCACCTCTCATGGACACACCAAATCTACAGCTACAAAAGAACGATCCTCTGTGAAAGAAGTCCAGAAGGTGAGTGCTACACATGGGGCAAACGAGACAAAAATCCATACTGAAGTGATAAAATAGGCAGAGACACAGCCTTGCCATAAACCCCACTTGGTGTTACGCCACACAGCTGGAGGACTCCCACTTCCCAGCTTCTCCCTGAGGTGCCACGGGTTTGAACCCCACATGTTACTTCCACTTTTAAGACTTCCACCTGAGAGGACCCCAAAATATCTAGCTTCAAAAGTCAGGAAGGCTTGTGTCCACAAGACACACCCCTCTCTCCAAATATAGTGATTTCAACTTGATTATTTTACCTTTCTGGGACCCGTGATTTTTTTTTTTTTCTTTTAATCTAGGAAAAAAAAGGAGGAAACTCCTCGGAGATTGACGTAGACACTTGATCAAAATGAATTCTATAATTAAAAACATTAATAATTCACATCGTTTAGAAAGGTACAAAATTGGCTCATTTCATGCAAATTCTCTCGCTGGCCACTTGGAATAAAGGTAAAACACCTTGTGCATAGGTCATCTCTTTTTTCTTGTAAGTAGGTTTAAGCCAATATAGGTTGCAGTTTCCCTTTCTGTTTCCTTGACATGGCCATGTGATGATGCTTGTTTGAAGGCCAGACAGCAAATGAGGGGTGTGTGTGTGTGTGTGTGTGTGTGTGTGTACATATAGAACCAGGTTTCTCCTTAATGACAGAGACGTGAGTAGATCTCGTGTTTCCTTCCTGGTTGTGCCAGCTCCAAGCACACAGATAATGAGACAAGCTCAAAGCTATGCTGCTTGGCCTAGACTGAAAATTCTCCTGCAAACTCCTCCAACTTCTCTTCTGGTGTTGTCTTAAGAATGAAAATGAAGACAGGAAGTCAGGTTCTTTAGAAATGAAAGGTCTAAGTTAAGCTTCTAATTTGGGAAAATTACTAACTCGATTATTACTTGACTTAAATTTAACAGTTCACACCCAGAAGATTCTGCTAACTGCATGTTGTATTTTTCAACAGTCATGGATGCAGCAGAGATCAGGATTTTATTTCAAACAAAAATGATTTGCTTTTATTTTTCTATATGGATGTAAGGAGAGAGTGGAGCAGAATAAATCTATTTGCAAGTTATTTAAATGAAAGTCATTAAGCAATGGATGATTTATTTTATGTTTGCATTCTAGAGTATTTTTAAAACTCTAGGCCATTTATGTTTATTGTGTTTAGGGCTAGCTTAAGAAAATAATGTGAATTAAATATTTCACTCTTGTCTAACAGTTTTATATGCAAATTTGGTTAAATGATAGAGAATACATGTAAGAGAAAAAATGTTACAGCGCTCGTGAAAGGAAGAGAAAAACGGCGTGTATTCTTAGTAAAAACTGCTCAACTTGCTTTAGAAATATGTTACAATCACTAAAATACAAGTAGTAAATTTATTTTTAAGTTTAGTAGCACATGTAGGACCCCAATAATTACTGCTCAAAGGTTCTGCTTTACTACATTTTTTAAGGTGGTTTGTTTGTTTGTTTGTTTGTTTCAGCCCTTCTCTGCAAATATAGCCTGGTTGGATGAACTATTATTGCAGATGGAAGGGCTCATCCTAATCACTCATGTGGCTTTTAAAACTATAGTCTCTTCCACACCAGTTGTGATACTGCAGAGCCTGTCACCCCTTTATGGGACACCCATTTCCCCCGCAACCCCAAACTACACCCAGAATCGCTTCTGTGACTGAGGGATTGTGTTTTTTTCCTTTTATCTCTCTGTTTTTGGGACAGAAAAAAAGTTTGAGGAAAAATTAGTATTTCTGAGAGGATTTTTATTTCCAGAAATAAGGAATAGGATAAATATTCTATCACCAATTATTATCTTCCAGTCAAGTAAGATGTTATGCATCTTTAATTGGTCAAGGTTTTCAAATAATTTATATTTTAATACTCAATCTGGAATGCAAGATCCTTGTAGAGTTTGTGGTGAGCACCAACTGGATGACTTTGCTTAAAGGGTCACCACGAGAAGTATTTTAGGCAAAGAAGCTTCAGAGTTCTACCCCTGAACTCTGGTTGGAAGAAGAGGATGTACGCTCAATTTCTTTTTTTAACCCACTGTAAGATTAGTGACAGCTCATTTTCATCTAAGAGGTTGTTTGTGATGATGGCACCAAATCCCAGTGATCATGAAAGAGCATGTGTTCTCTAATCAGATCCATCAACTTGAGTGATGATCTGTTAGCTTTGGAGATTTGAACGTCTAAGGTTTGAAACAGCTGTGGGCAGAAAGAATCTCCCCCGCCCCATGTTCTAACATTCCCACTGAAATAAATATGCTTTTAGTTGAGTGGGCTCAGACACAGAGGAGTCAAGGCTGGAGCATTTAGCTGAAAAGGAAACCCCCAAAAAATCCTGACACGTCTCGAAAAGGCCTCAACTGATCTAGACATAACTGCAGTCCAAAGGCTTGCCCATGAAATGTGGGTAGAAGGGAGATCGTCCAAACCTGAGGAGACTAAATCCATTTGCGGTCTTGCTGAGCTTTGATCTGGCTCCCTGACACATGTCATTCAGGGTCCCATAAAGGAGACAAAGTCTATCTGCGGGAGACAGCAGACAAAGGTGGCCTCTTGGAGGAGGTGATGGTTCTTGGATGAAGTACAGTATCTTCAGAACGTAGGACACAATAAGGGGCAGGAAGGCACGCCAAGACACTTCCTTTTTGGGCTTTCGCTCTCTAATTCTCTAAGTTTGATTCTACCCCATTTGTAAAGCTTCTAAAGAAGGATAACTTTAGTTTTAGTGAAGAAATTTTTTCCTTCACTTTTCTCCTTCGAATGGGAAATAAAGTAGTTTAAGGGTGGCATATGGAAGAGGGCTCTCAAGACCTGTTCCCTCACCCCACTGCCTGTGTCCTATAAACTGGTGGAGTGTTGTGTGGAAAAGGTCTTCTATTTTCTATGTAAATGAAATAAGAGGAAAGAAAAACAACAAACTCCCAATTCCACTCCAGTCAATGGAACTTGAGAAATCACTGTTTGAACAATACTTGGCTGAGTAAACCAAGAGTGCAACACGCTAAGCTGGAGGGTGAGGGGTGTGCGTGAAGGTAAGTCATGAACCTCAGCTTCTAGTCAGTAACTCCTGCTTTTCTCCTGCCTCTACTCCAAGAGAGGCTCTCTTCTGAGATTTTAGCTCTCAAGTTACAATCCTGAGGCCAACTTTAGGCTCCGCCACTGACTAGTTCTGTGAAGGTTGTCAGTGAGCCTCAGTGTCTTCATCTGTGAAGACATTACTTCATGGGGCTTTCTGTGGGAAGTAAACAGGATTGTGTGATGATCGCAGCTCAGGGACTGTCACTAAATAAAGGCTCGGCAAAATGTTAGTGTCTACATCCTTAGAAACATTCACTGGTAAAGGGGAGCTGTAAACCTAGGATGCCAGAAGACATTATAATATAAATGATCATTACTCAATGAACATTTTGGTATACAATGCAAATATATTCTGTGCAGGCTAGGTGATACGCTGAAAGATTTGAAATGGCAAACATTTTTATTTTCAAAATAGTTTAGAAGGTGGATCCCACAAAAGTAATTCCTGGCTTAGAGTGCAATAGATCATTAAATTGGTGGTCTGTGAGTATCTAGAAGAGGAAGCAGTGTTACGAGAATCGTCAAGTGTTGGCTATGGTAATGTGTATCCAGGACGTAGTCCCCTTTTTAAGCCTAAATGGGTAGAAATGGAAAATAATTACTTCAAAGGTTAGAAATGTGCCATTTTCCCAGAAGGGATACATGAATTCAAGCTTTTGAGACAAGCTTACTTTTTCTTTTTCTTTAAATGTGTATATATATGTAATTCTTGGAAAGGATCACAATAGACTATTAATTTTAAACTCCATGAGGTCAGGCATTGTCCCTGGTTCCTAGAAGAGTGCCTGTCACAAACAACTACTCGTCGAATGAACGAATGAATGAATGAATGAATGAACAATGAGCAAGTACCCCTGCCACCAACACTGTTGGAGAAAGCTGGGGAGTAACCAGGATGAAGTTTTATTCTTATTTGTTTGTTTTATTTTTGGCAACATATATTTTATGTTTTAACTGGGTTTCTTTGGGAGAATTTGTGTGTGTGTGTGTGTGTGTGTGTGTGTGTGTGTGCATGTTGCAAACTATTATCTGTTCTTATGAAATTATGTGTGTTCCTTATGGAGTGATCGTGTTCCAGGAGACTCAGACCGGAGATGGTGAAGACTTCAGAAAGTTTATGGCATTATGGGGTGTATCTTTCACTTTGTTCAGGAGAAAGATCTATAACGGCTAACTGGTCTATACTTGGGCATATATAAAAATGGCCATCCCTAACACATTGAAGTTGGACTAGTATTATTGGTAATCACTAGGTGTCCTTGGGCCTTGAGGGAGCAGTAAAGGAATGGAGACCCTCACTGTCAATCCTTCCATGGAGAAAGCCCTTTGTCAGGGATGGAGAGCTGGACCATAGGAAGAAAGCGAGCTAGCACCCCCCGCCACTCCCCGACCTTTCTCCAGGTCCTCATGGCAGTTCTGCAGTCTAATAAGAAGGTAGGAGAGCTGAACTTCGTAACACGGCAGTAATCTAGGAGACGGGAAAGGGGATTCCTGGAACTCTAGTAGGATGAGCTTGTGGGCTAAACTATTAAGCAAATTCACCTATTAAAAAAAAGGTTATCCACAAGGCACTTCCATGACTAGACAGGCTTTTTGGAAAATGTGTCTAACAGATTGTGATAATTTCAGTCAGCTGGGCAACTGGGTTGTGAAAAAATGTATAATAATTTTTTAAGGAAAAGGGCCAGTGTCACATGACTCTCTGTTCTTACCATAAATATCTCTTCTTGCTGACAATGATTCTCAGGTTAAAGATTACATCATCTTTCATCTTGTCTATTTTGCCCCTTGTGAAGAGAACAGAACTATGTCTCCCAGGTCTTCCCTTTCCTGAACCCACTAAATTGACAATTGTATATTAGAAAGTACAGAAAAGGAAAGCAATA